AGGGATAGAGTTAGTAACAGCCTAGAAGCTGCTCTTTTGGAAAGGGGCCAGATGGAGTGCATTTCTTCCTGACCCTTAGGATGGAGAAAGGAAAGGGTCTCAGGTGCATCCACTCCTTACAATGCACTGAAATGTTTCACCTAAGGAGAGATCCGTCTGAGAGGTGAAATCAGTTGTAGCCATCTTCAGCTACCCGTTTTTGGTACTAATTCATGAGAGAGAGTTGCGAAAGATAGTGATGGTTCCTCCCTGGTCTCTGCTAGCTAAGCTACCCCTTGGCCAGGGAGCAAATTTAACAGGAAAAGCAGAGGCAATGAGATTAGCTGGGCAGCACTGCAAGGAATTTTCCACCTAGCAAGACATGAAGGCCGAACACATTTACACCAGGGACTGTGGGTAGAGAGAAGGGTGGTGGTGGTGTATGACAGAGAGGAAGGGAGGACTAATGGGGAATGGAGGGAGTCTGTGCCTTTATGGGCTGAACTTCCCAGGCAGAGAGTCTGGCTGGAGTGCTTTGAAGTTTTTGTTATGCACAGCTAAACTTGGAACCAGACATAGAATACAGAAGAGCTCTTGCAATCACTGAGTGATCAGTGAACATCACAGGCATGAATAAGTGAAAGGAGAACATCAGGAAAAACTTCCTTTGATGAGACTGTGGGAACAGTCCCCCAGAGATGAGGAAATGATGGGATGTCCATTGGCTTGAATCACTTCAAACACAACTGAAAATCACCCACAAATAGTTAAAGCGAAACTCAGACACCTCCCAAATAACCCCCATACCAGCTCCCCGCCATGAAAAGCTGTAAGGAATCTTTGTGGGATTAGGAATTTTAGAGAACTCAAAGGATTGAGGAGACACTCATGACAAAAGTGAGATTTTTTTTGTTTTCATGTGAGACAAGTCTGTCCCTAGGAGCTTGCACTGTAGACAAAGGAAGATTATAGAATAGAAGATTCATAGAATATCAGAGTTGGAAGGGACCTTAGGAGGTCATCTAGTCCAACCCCCTGCTCAAAGGGGGACCAATCCCCAATTTTTGCTCCATTTCCCTAAACAGCCCCCTTAAGGATTGAACTCACAACCCTGGGTTTAGCAGGCCAATGCTCAAACCACTGAGCTATTCCTCCCCCTAGATGAGCTAGTCCCACTTTACAGATGGGGAACTGACGTAGAGGAAGGTGGAGTGAGATGCCCAAGGCCACACAGGAAGTCTGGGGCAGAGCAGGGAACTGACCCTAGGCCAATATATTAACCACAAGTCCAAGCCTCACCCCCCAGGAAGTCAGTATCATTTGTGCCTATTTTACACAACAGGCAGAGAAGTGCAAGTGACCGGTCCAAGGCCACAGAGGGTATCAGTGAGAGAGCCAGGCTGAGAACTCAGGGATACCTGGCCTCCAAGCCCTAGCCCCTGCCCACACCCCTCACCCATAAACCCCACTCTTCTTGGATGTCATATGTATTTATAATGCATGCTTTAACTGAAGAGACTTCATTTTTGTCATGCCAGGTGATGTCCCTTTGCAGCTCTGGTACCATTAAGACAAGTATTCTGAGGTTGATTGGACAGAAGCCCGTGAAATAGTCTGAGGTTGTAGCCTTTGCAAGGTCTCTGGGACTGCTAGCAGGGCTGATCACCTTAGCTGAATGGGCCACAGAGCACCAGAGGCAATTACTCAGGGGCTTAAAAAGCCAAGTGCTCTAGGGGGACATTAGCCCCTTCTCATATTAAAACTATGCTAAGAACTAATTGTGGGGACAAAGATCGTATTACCCGCGGCCGGCTCAAGGCTGCAGCCGAGGTTGGTCAGAGGTTCTCTCTTGGCACCTTGCGTTGCTGAAGTAGGAGGTTCCTAGAATTGTATTTTGTGCATCCTTGGGACACACTATTCCTTTAACGTTTGTCTGGTACGTGCTAACTGGATGTATGCCACAGAACCACAGTCTCAGGAACAACGTGCTTGATTAAGGCATTTCTTTTAGTCTTTAAAATGAGGTTTTCAACTCTCTTTCCTTTGTTGGAACCCCTCTCCCTTGCTTCCTTACCACTATTTGCATTCCTCCACCTCCACACCAAGGCTAGTTTGTTATTGGAGGGTTGTATGCTAACACGGGAATCCACACACTAGCTTATTAACATAGAGGGGCTTGTGCACTTGTGCAAAGAGGGCAGGCAGATTTGTTGCAGGATTCTGGGCATTTCATTTGTGTTATTGTAGGGTTGCTCATGAATGCCGGACTGTAGACATTGCTCTAGTAATGTCGGGTTGTTCTACGGAAGAGAACGGTGTATACAGCTTTACTCTCAGAGGATTACTTTTGCGTGGTGGTGTCTGCACGCTGGTTAGTTACTGTAGGGTGGCTTGATAGTGCAGCACCATGCACTCTGCTTGTTTCTTGGGGTGTCATTACATGCACACAGCTGCTGCCGCTTAAGTATTTCAGTGTTTGTTTAAAATAAATCCCTGTTTTAGAAAAGAAAACAGCCCAAATTGTACAGACTGCTCTTGCAAACAGACAGGCAAGAGAAAAGGACACTCTACTCCCCCCGCCCCGCCTGTGTCCCTTTAAATGTGAGGCTGCAGCCCTGCCAGCAGCCTAGCTGAACAAGCCTCTCCATGCTGTGCCAGAACATAATCGAAATCTTATTCTCTCCCAGGGTGACAGTGAAATTCATTTCCCAGCCTTTACTTAATGTTATTAACAAAATGCAAGCCTGATGCACAGCGCTAAGCAAGATACTTGGCTGGAGGGAGGGGGATGAGGAATAGATGCCCTCCTGCTTTTCTAGGTTATCTAAACACCGGCTGACGCTGGTGTCCTGTCCCGGTATGAACTGCAGCGGCTACTTCTCCTGAGATTAAAAGGCTAATTTTATCTCACTTGTAGAGCTGGGATGAAAATATATGAATGATCCATGGCTCAGCCATCTGGAGGAAAGAGTGGATGGAAAAATCCAGACTCATCTGGGGAAAAAAAAGTGCCAGAGCTGGGCTAGATGGAGATAGCACCTCGCTAGCTGGAGCTGAAAATCACACTGAAAGGAAGTAACGCCCGAGAGTCAGGGATAGGTGGTGCAAAAGCAACAGCTGCCTGCTTGCTGGTCTTAAGTCACGCACACAGCAAACCAGCACCCACAAGTGGCGAGACCCTGCATCCCTAACCCACTACCAGGGACAGAGGCAGCAGCTGAAACAAGCCCAGAAACAGTGGGGCTGTCAGGTGCCAGTCGTGGGGTGGCGTGGGTTAACATCAATGGAGGGTTTGACTCTTCGCCTCCAAAGCCATGCTCTGATTGACCAACTACGTCCTTCTGATGCGGTCACTAAACCAGGGAATTGCATGTATAGGACCTTATAGGTAGGGGAAAAAAATATGTAAACAAACCAGCAATCACTATACCACAGACTGGCTTCCAGCAGGACACACCCTCGACCCTTACTGCTTCTGAGCCTGGGGCTGCTTTACTGCACCGGTGAGGGATGACAGCCCCCTATCATCCACTCCCTGTCTCCTTTAATGTCTCCATTAACGCTTTTTTGGTACCATGAAACGTCCCCTCCCGACATTCAAATTTTTCTGGTTCTAGAATCCAGTTGTTTTTCTGGAGTAGTTAGTGCTACATACAGTACTAAAGCCTGGCCCTAAAGGAGATTCCCAAGAGCTCAGTGTTACTCAATGGCAAAGACACTTTCTCCCACCAGGAAAGGTGGTACTGAGAGACTCCCTATACTCCCAGCAAAGTTGCTAGAGGATATTGAAGTATCTCCAGGGGAGCTACTCTCACTGCAGTAGCAGAATAGGGATCCAGGTCCATAGGAAAAGTTCGTTGCTGTCAAAACATGCTACAGTTAACCATAAGCTGTGAGGCATTAAACTGCCCCTAACATACCACCGCAGGGTGTGCATTACTTAACCACTGGGGCCTTCCTCTGGGATCTGAGCACAAAGCCAAATCCAACCCCAGCCAAGCCATTCCAGCTCTGCTGGGGCTGATGGTTTAATTTTCATATACCTTTGGTAGTAGGAAGGCAAAGGCTGAAAATACTTTGCCAAGTGATGTTTTGGGGAGGGCTGAGAAGTCCAGAGGGGCAGGGTATAGTCTCCCTCTTCCAGCTTTTGGCACAGGGCTCTTAGGCTGTGATAGGTGTTGTCAATAACATTTGCTATAGGAGGTGGATGAACAGGTAGGTCTTATGCTGCCATCGAGCCATCTGTGAGCTAAATCTACCCAGTCTAGCACTCCTGCCAGATGAATAGTGCCAGGTTTGTATGACAAGCTACAAGCAAAGGAGGGAAGATCTTCTAACATCAGTTGAGGGCTAACGGACCAAGCTGGAGGTACATGAACACTAGAGGCCTGATCAAAACCACTAAATCAATGGAAAGACTCCCGCTAGCATCAGTAGGCTTTGGATCAGGCCCTATCTGAACCCTCTAGGAATGGTCCGAGCTGCAGCAGTCTGCCTTAAGACAGCCATAAAAATAATTTGCTCCAGAGAGGCTGTTTTTCGGTGAGAAAGCATGGGCCAGTGGTTAAAGCATAGGATGGGAAGCCCAGGGATCTGGCTTCCATCCCTGGCTCTGTGTAGCCTTATGCAACTTGTTTTCCACCTTTTCTACCTGTCACCAGTGGCACCTGTCTCACCGTGGTGTTACGAGGCTTAATTCATTGGAGCTTTTCTGATGCTTGCCCTGAAGGCACTGTACAAGTGCAAAGGGTCATTCTCTAAAGGCTGAACGAAGTTGCAGTGGAAAGCCCGGAGCTGCTTGGGAGGGATCACTTGAGACAAGGGGCCAGCCCTTTGGAGGTGGGTCCCTTTGGACAGATTGCACTGGATGTTCTTTTTATTCTTTACTTCATGTTGCTCTTTCCAGTAGAACTGGCACCGCTCCCTAACTATGCCTCCCATAAATAAAGCATAGCATCAGCTGTCATGTCGGTGGGAGACAAACATTTAATAATATGAAAACCTTTAAACGAAGAAGGAAATAAAAAGATAAAGGGCAAATTTTATTTTAGATTCCTTGCTGGTACATATATATATTTATATGACAACAAGGGGATGTGAGAGCTTTATCAGCCCCCCATTTGAGGATTTATTCACATTGTCCTAATGCTTACAGAGAGTGGGGGAGACTTTAAAAACGATAAAGTCAGTACAAGTGGTAAGGAAAGCACTGAACAGGGGAGATTGATCAAATGGCTGAATGACCATTTGGAAAATGGGGACAATTCTTCATCTTTTGTATAAGCACTTTGGGATCTACAAAGAGTACTGTACAGGTGTTTCGAACTGTCAGTACAGTTTTACAGAGCAAGCAGGAACTAGGGTTCCTAATAGAGACAGACAGTAAGGATAGCCTTAAATTAGTTATATAGGGTTAAAGCCCTCTTCATTTTCAAAAAGTTATTACCCAAAGCTTCCCTCTGCCCAGTCTCCAAGGGATCATTAGGGGGGAGTTCTTGGCAGTTTGGTTTGAAGCAGGCAGGCAGACAGATAGGTACACCAAACCCCCAGACTATTTCCTAACTCTGCATATATCCCAGCTGTAACTTAGCAACCTATGCTGGGCACTAGCATCTAAACAGAAATGCGGTCTTGGAGGAGGGAGGTTTAACCTTTCATTAAGCACCACTCCTCTTTCTACCCTTTTCTGTTCAGATACCTTAGAAACAACAAGAGAGACACTTTAGAGAATATTTTCCAAGACAGCAAAAGGAGTTAGGTACCCAATTCCTGTCAGCTTTCAGTGGGAGATGGACAGCTAATTCTCTTTTGTGCCATTGAAGAGTTGCCTCTTTGTCACCAAGACATACATTATGAGATAAACAAACATATCTCACCAACCCAGAGCCTATGAGTCAGCTGTGGCCATAGAAGTTAAGTGTTGATGATTCAAACTCTGCTCGTTTCAAGAGCCTGCTTGTGAAAGCCACTGTCAGCTTGTGATACACAGTCATGCTGACCCACAGGCTTCAGCTAACAGAGATGCATTAGAAATACTTAGGTGGATGGATACTAGCAGGAATAGGGGCTTGCTCATGTTCTTGCAAGGTTTAGAAACTATTTCTACCTGGCAGGCTCATTTGAAAGATGGCCTCTCAGGTATCTAAGAGGTGCGTTGGGACTTTCCGATCTTTTCCCTTCACCCCGTCATGGCTATTTTCTCCCTGCTATCCTTGGCAGAAGTGCTACCATGACATGAGTTTTCTACAGCAGACACACGAGGGTAAAGGAAATAGTACTACCGACCACTCACACAGCCATTTCAACAGTAGGTCTCAAACTGCTTTACAAAGGAGGTCAATATCATTATCCCATCTGTAAAATGGAGAAATAGAGGAGCAGAGAGGGGAAGTGACTTGCCCATGGTCTCCGAGCAGGCCACTGGTGGGAACAGAATTCAGATCGCCTGATTCCCAGTCCAGTACCCTAGCCACCTGCTTCCCTGGTTTTCCTACAATAGCCCTTGGCATTTGTATAGCCCTTTTCATCTGAAGATCTTACGCCACTTTGGAAAGGCAGGTGTCATCCTACTCTTAACTGAGACACAGAAGTAAAGTGACTTGTCCAAAGCATCACCATGAGTCAGTGACAGACTGGAACAGAACCCAGGACCACAATTTTCAGAAGCGACTCATGATTATGGATGCCCGACCTGAGCTGCCTTAAAGGGATCTGGCTTTAAGAGCATGGGTACATGACACCTTGAACGCATGGCGCCCAAAATCAACAGTCACTTTTAAACATATTACCTATCTCCTTGCTCTCACGTCTGCAGCTTTAACCACTGATGATGTGGCCAAGTGTTGGTCAATCGGCTGTTAGAAGTTAATGTTCGTAATATTTCATTACACATAAAGCTGTCATCCCCTTTTTCACAAGTGTCCACATGGGATTAATCCTTCTCAGTCTACACCTTTCAGGAATATCATCATAATTTCCCAACAGAAATCAGTTTCACCTGCCTACAAATGTAAGTGCTCAGAAGGCAATGAGAACACAAAGGGCAAGATCTCTCCTGACTTGTACTGTAGCAGCCCGAACACCCACTAAATTGTGCCAAAGAGTTTAAAAACAATAAAGTAAACTTCAGGTAATATTTTGGATTGCAAAATGAGGATAAATTCAATGTTCAAACAAAAGCTGATAAAATGCCATTTGGAAACTGAAAAAAAAAAAAAAAAAAAAAACCCAAAATAAAAAAGGAACCTGACAACAGCTATCAGGTTCCAGAGTAGCAGCCACATTAGTCTGTATCCGCAAAAAGAACAGGAGGACTTGTGGCACCTTAGAGACTAACAAAGCTCCTGATGTGCTAAGACCACTGACTATCATGCTGACCAGTAGCATCTCACTGGTTTCTTGTGCTTGCCTGTTGGCTCGTCTTATACTTAGACTGTAGGCTCTTTTGGGCAGTGACCATCTTTTTGTTCTGTGTTTGTACAGCACCTAGCACACCTGGATCCTGGTCCTTGACTACTGCAATACAAACATTAATATATAATATTATCAAATTTATTCCGCAAATTAAATGTATAGACACAAGTTAAATGTGTAATAAATTGCACCAACTCGGTGAGATTCATCCTACAAAAAAAGAATTTCATCAACAGTACAAATGATTAGTGCAGTGTTGGGCTTTTTTGCTCTAGATCCGGTGGTTTAAAAAAATTACAAACCATATACATTTTAAAAAGACAGCAGGCACAATGGGAGTTTTCGCAAGCACCAATGGATATGAAGATCTTGTCCTTGCACATTAAAAGAATAAAGGCTGCCTTTGTTTTATCAATGGTTTTAATCAATAAGCCGTGGGAAAGATGGTTAATGTCTTGGATACAGCTGTTGAGTTTCCTCTTTTGTTCAAACACCCTGCCTATGCCATAAAAGGGAACATACGGGGATAAAATTCAACTCAGCATGGGATTTCTCCTACTTAACTAATAAGGCCTCCCGTTGCTTTGTTTCTGGAGATTGCTTTTCCGTACTGAGTTTCTCTGACAAGCCAGCAGGATATATAATGAATCTGAGGCAGCCAGCAGAATGCATAGGTGAAAAAGCCCCAGTAATCCTTCAATCTTCAGCGTGGCCAGCAGGGGAAGTAGAAGTGCAAGCTTCATGGTTAGAAAACACTTCCAGACATTAAGAAACCAGTTCAACCCTTCCTGGGTACTTTATAAAATTACTTCTCAACGCAATTCCATGGACAGGATTCAATGGCCTCGTCAAGCTTGCCTGCTGATCCTGAATCTTGAAGCAGCAGCTCTCCATGAACATGGGCACACGCATATTATATTTATGACACTAATGGAAATAAAATCCACTGGTTATAAGGGGTCAAATCACTGCTGGCATAAGGGGGTGAAGCCAATGGAGTTATGGCTGAAATGGATTTGGTCCCGGCTGTCTGAGTGGAGATTGGGACAACAAGTTTATGATGTTGGGAACCCTGAGAACAACAGTATCTCAGCCCTGCCTAGGCCACTACACTCCGGTGCTATTTTCTCCTCAAAAACAAACACTTCCTAATTGTACATAAAACCAAACATATGTAGCCAAACAGCTGGATATACAAACTACAATGCCTGCAGTGTTAATGAGCAGAGATCAATTCTTCATTAAGTGTTGTGGCATTGCCACATTAACTTCTGCAAACAAATCCTGCATCAACACTGTAAGCATTGTGTATCTGCTCTCCAAAAGAACACACACACATTGCGCTGCCCAGTATAGACATGTACATTCACCCTGGATGTTCATTCCCAAGGGGGTTTTTTGTACATATGGAGTGATCGTTTTTGGCTGCAGCCATAAGAGCATGCTCCTTACGTACACCTGTGTTCTGTCATTTGCCACCTGTTCCCCCGTTCCTGGTACAAGACAAAGCACAATGAAAGCTGACACACAAAGCACAGGAGATCATCACCTCTCCTCCAGCCCCCCAAATCTCTCAAGGCACGTGACACTGCCGTCACTCAATCCCACCCACCCTTTGTAAAGGCAAAACAAATACAGAGCTCTTCTCTGTTAAGTGTCAGTTAAATGCTTGATTCCTGGTGTGCTAGTGAGATAAAAGCATTTTTTAAACTAATGGAACCTAACTCCCATTCCTGATGTTTCCATGGGAAATATTAATTCTTTTAAAAAACATTTGCTGATGGGTAAAACCACTTGTTGGTCTTCCCACAGTAAAGATCACCTTTAAACCTCCTACCCTTTGGGCAAAGAGATCCCTTGCCCCTTTCTATTAGATATTAAAGGGCGATTATATGTTTGTTTACTCATGGAGCTCAAACACTCACTGGACAGCTAGCTTTGGTGTGCTTCTGGCTCCTTCTCTAGCTCAAGTCCATCTTCTTACAAGCCAAGATTATTGCCCTAAAAATAATCTGTTAAGTGTCTCTCAGAAATAGAGGGTAAGGGGGTCGGGATGATTCTAAACTGAGAAAGTTAGAACTCCTGTCCATCCCTTCCCACATCCAGAGAGGGAACTGTCCATTTGCACAGACTGAACCAACGGCTCCTCCTTTGCTCCGGGTTAGTGCTCTGAATCGGAGACGTAAGAGGGCTGTGTCCATCTCCACACCAGCATATCCTCTCCTGCTATTCGGTGTGACTCCGTCTGAATCCGCGATTCGTTGGAAGCCAGGAAGTCCACAGCTCTGTTCCAGACCCGCTTCATTTTTTTCCTGGAAGTAGCAGCAAAACGGAATAGTGATTTCTGCCTTACGTTTGCTTGCTTAGCGCACTTGTCACTGCCTACAAAGTGACTCTTACCCTCCTCCCGTTGCCTTCCAATAGACAGTAAAGGAGATCAAAGCGAACATTCAGAACTAATTCTGAGACAGTGCGTCAAGGCGCCAACTCTTTATACATGGTTCTAATACTGTGGAAGATGAGCCCTCCAGACAGTACAAGGAGGCTTATGGATTGCACAGAATTCCAAACTTGAATTGTGGTGCAAGGAGACCCCAATTAGTATTTTTCCCCAAGGACACTTGCAATAACGTTTGCAGAGCTCCCTTAGATTTTAGAACACAAAGTGGAGCTTGTCCCAGTTCTGGATCCGTGTTTAGTTGTGCTCCCAACTTTCAGTTCAGGACCGCATGCAGGCAAATAAGCTCAAACCTTTTTGATCAGATCAAACCACATCAGACCTTTTTCCTACCAGTAGTACAGTGACTGATTAAGGATGAGAATGATTAAGGCTTTGTCCTTCATAACAGCATGGATCTCAAAGTACTCTATAAAGTAGGGACGATCTCCATTTTACTGAAGAGGAAACTGAACTTTAGAGATGAGGCAAACGGCATACTGCAGCAAAGAAAAAACAGGACCCCTGTCTACTAACGCCCCATCCTGTGATCCAGCTACTTGACCACACTGCCTCCTTGAAGAGCAACAAACCCAGTAACCTACCTGTAACTGGATAGTGTCTCCCAATTACATCTGCCTAACTGGCAATTGCTTTGCTCTGGCTGGCGGGAAACCCAAATTGATTAGTGAGCTTAGTCTCACTCCCATGGCAGGCAATGCACAGAGCCATTCAGGAAAGAGCTACTCTGATGCTCTGGCTACACACTGGATGCCTCAATTCTGAAAGGCACAGCACTGCAGTCCTCCTGGCCAGATGATAGGTCAGAGCGGTGGAGACGCTCAGGATAACATCTGATTCAAGTTTAGATGAGGGAACACAAACGGAACACCCAACAGCCAGGAAAAGCAAACAAAAGCCAATTTCTGCTTGATATGACCATGACAGCACACCTGTGTGAGTGTTCAAAACGTCAGCACTAGGAGAAGAGCTCTGCGTGGCTTGAAAACTTGTCTCTCTTGTCAACAGACATTGGTCCAATAAAAGATTGCCTCATCCACCTTCTCTCTCTCTAATATCCTAGGACTGACATGGCTACAACTACACTGCATAGCACTAGGCCGGTCCCATTTATCCCGAGTGGGTTATAACAGTCTGGGTTATGTCAGAATCCGTTACAATCCCAAAGGCCAGACTCATTCCTCTAAAACTCCTCACACTCCACTCCCCAACAAGTCTGCTTCCAGTCGGTTACCCACGAAGTACACTATGACCTGAGCTGAAGGCCCCCTTCCTAAAGGGAAAGGATTTGCTCACCTGCTTTGGGGTGGGATGAGGGTGTCGCGAACGTGAAGGATGCCTACATATGGGTATCGCTCCAACCTCTGTTCCCACTCTTTGTAGTGATCCTGGACAGCAGCTGTAAGAGGAAACCGAATGGGGCAAATGGGGAGTGAAACTGTCTGAAACGAAGAGACCATTTTAAATTAGATCGCCAAAGAGCAGTTGGCCTCTACCTATGATTTTCTTCACCATTTCATACATGGCCTGCTCCTCTTCTTCCATCTTCCGCCAGTGATACTTCAGGAGTAACAGGATCCCCCAGAGGGCAATTAGACCTATGAGTGGAAGAACACAAATGGAAGCATGTGCACTCATATACATGTGTTCAGTGGATGTGAGCTGCTCTATTTCCTACTCTTATCAGAGACTGGTTTTGTTCTCTGCTATCCAGGGCCCGCCTGGAACTATATCGGAGTTATTCATGTTGTTTACTGTGACAACCACAACGCATGGGAATTCTGAAACGGACAGTGCTTGGAGTCAAACTCCCAAGGGGAGGGATTTCTTGGCAGACCTCACCTGTAGTGTTCCCTTCCGCCAGAAAAATCAGGATGACGACTGGTCTCTACGGCATTAAAATTCAAGACCCCTCACTTTGACAGAGCCCACCCCACAATAATCCAGAAGAACAGTTGTGCTTCACTGCTCTCGAAATAAGGGGTCAGAAAGGAGAGGAAGGAAGGCCTTGTGGTTAAGGCACCAGACTGGGACTCATGAGATGTAGATTTAAGTCGTGACTTTGCCATCTATCTCCTTTATGACCATGAACAGGTCACTCAGTCTCTCTGTGCCTCAGTTACCCCTCTGTAAAATGGGAATAATGACACTTCCTTTGTCTGTCTTTTGTCTATTTAGATTATAGGCTCTTCACAGCATGGCAGGAACTCACCATGTGTCTGTACAGCACCTAGCAGTTGGGCCCTGATCTCAACTGAAGCATTTGGGCACCACCACAATACAAAAAATTGACAAAAAACAAAGAAATACTCCAACTCATTAACAGTGATGCCAGAAGACTGAACAGTGTTGTACAAGGAAGGGATGAGAACTGAATCTTTGGGCAGGTTGTTACTAGACTAATTTTGCAGGCCATCACAACGAATGCTTGAGAAACACTTAAATGAGACAGACAGCTGATGTACTTGGTGGTTTGAAATAAAGGAAAAGCACTTACTGCAGGACAATGGGTCTCTACAGGTCTCCTTCTATTGCTAGATCACAGGTTAATTAGATAGAAATTAACTCACCAAGAGAATTCCTTTAACATTTATCACTAGTTTAATGTGGTTGTGGGAGTGGGTATACGGACGGGGAAAGCTCAGCTATGAAGGCTAAAGGCTTACTCCAGAAGAAGATGAAAAGGTTCATAATGGCAGTGCTTATTGCCCGGCGGAAACGACAGCCTAACCCCATCCGAGGACGGGTGGATTCGAGGCACACCACCTGGTCTACACTGGTAACCGGTTCTGATGGGTCTTCCCCTTTTAACCTGATGGGAAAAGGCAGAAAACCACCTCTGAAGAGTGCAGAGACTCCAGCAACAGGCTTTAATCAGGACAAGGTACGCAAACACATTGCAGCAGCTGTAACTCTTTCAGCAAACCGTGTAGAAAACACTAAAGCATTCTCACTACTTGTCTTTCCAGAACATTTCAGCACTGGCTGCTTAGCACGGGAGGAATATGGCTTTAGAAAAGGCAGCAGGATCAGAACTCCCACTGGTAAACTGAAGTCTCCCTCTGCAGACGCTTTGACAGCACTTCTCAGGGTGCAGAAGATTCAACTTTAAAATTGGATTCCCCTCTCCCAGCATAGAGAAATGGAAATGTTTACTGAGTCACCCATCAGCAGTTGTGCAGAGAGCAGCTGGGAGCATGTGAATGTCTGTGGAGCCTGCACTGTTTTCCTTGCTACAGATGAGCATAAACAGTTCAGCTGGAAAAGTGACACCAAATCAAATATGGCTAACGTAAACCAGACACAACCTTGGAAAGCATTTATGGCACAGTTCATAACACATTCCCAAATTCATTCGTACATCCACTACGCAATCAGATTCCCTTTGCACTTATAGCACAGAGAGACAGATCAATCTACATCTATGTTTGCTTCCTTCTTGGATCTATTAAATCAGTAGGCATTAGGTAAATCCAACTGAAAGTGCTCCAATTTGTAAGAGATGGATTAAGATTTTTTTTTTTTAAAAGCTACCAATTCACTCTAGAGATGTAATGAATAGCCCACTGTAGACAGGTAGTGCAAATTACTTGAACCCTTAGTCCAGCAGCATACAAATAACAAGCCATTGGCAGCTTACAGTTTTTTAACTGAGCCTTGCTGTAATTGGAGACACCCAACTGTTTCACAGCCACTTTCTCTGATTTATAGTCCAAATCTTAAATGAATTACCAAGCACAGCGATCTTATTTTGTTCTGCTTTTACTAGTGCAGTGTCAAAATAACTTCACATAATGTCTGTGAAAAAGCCAACAGCAGGTTTTTAGCACACTCTACATTCTTACTGAGTTTCACAATGAGCTGCCAAACACTGGATCAATTTGGTGAGCTGTTGATTAAGTTGTTAAGAATGCACCTGAAGAAGTGGGGTTTTTTACGCACAAAAGCTTACGTCCAAATAAATCTGTTAGTCTTTAAGGTGCCACCAGACTCCTCGTTGTTGTTGTCGTCTTTTTTTTTTAAAGAAATAGACAACACCTGGAACATTAGATTACAGCAGTAGCTGTAGGGGGCAGGTTGGGAGGAAAAAAAAATGGAATTCTACGCAAGCTATGCCCACAACTCCAGTGTTTCTCCTGAAATGAGTTACATAGCAGTGAAAGAGCTAACTATATTGACATTTCAATTATCATTACTAGACCCCAGAGTTAATACTGAATGGAGACAGGTCACATCTTTGTAAGTTATGTTAGTATGTCCACTGACTAAGGAAGACAATACTGCATTGGGTTAACATTCTGAATGTTATATTCAACTATAAGGGCTATAAGGCTTAATATTTTGTTTCCCTGCATCATTAAATCCTTCAGAAACTCATAATCATGAGATGTGCTGGTATGGCATAACAATACATGCTAGTTCAATCTAATCTCTGATAACTGCAAAGGGGCAACTTCAGATTGCTAATATTTTCCTTCCTTGACAGTTCTCCAAAATAAGTTTGCTTTCAAATAATGTATCTGCGTTTTGGTGCTTTAAACTATGTCTATAGTGGGTCCCTGCCTACAATTAGTGGTTCTTAATATCTCCCACACAGTCCATGAGGATATCCAAATGAGACAGGCAGAGGAGCCTTTATAAATATACAGAAAGGACTTATATAGCATTTTATATTTTTCAAAGGGCTGAACAAAACCTTAAGCTGATTTTCACAGGATGATGATTTCTAACTAGACAAAATTCAGGATTGTCAAACACAAATATTCCTCCCTCCCCTCTCAAGTGTTAAAATCATGGCTGTCCATGAAGCAGAAGAGGAACTACTCTATCTCACACAGATCCAGCATCCGGTAAAGGTAATGGGAGCCTTTCCATTGATCAGGTATTCTGCTAGTAATACATACTAATGCAGACACACTCTGAAGATGCCATTCAGAATTTTCTTTTTAAAATAGCAACCCTCATCCTCAGATCCCACAGCATTTTACTCACTAACTACCAGGATTGCTTCAGTCACTACTGAAATTCAGTCACCTCAGTAGCGGAATGCAGCTGTACATTAGAACACCAAAGCAGCATTTGCAGCAGAAACACTGGAGAGAGCGGTATCCAGTGGAAAGCGCAGGGGAGAATTTTAAAAGGCAGATTATAATCACACAGATTTGGAACATGGGCAGGACATGTGGACTAACACTTCAAACTTTTTTGCAGCGCTGTTGTAGCAGTGTTGATCCCCGGATATTAAAGACACACAGCGGGTGAGGGAATATATTTTGCTGGACCAACGTATGTTAGTGAAAGAGACAAGCTTCCGAGCTACACAGACCTAAAGTAGAGCTCTGGGCCACTTGAAAGCTTATCTCTTTCACCAACAGAAGTTAGTCTAATAAAAGGTATCACCTCACTCCTAAATCTTGCAGTAAGTACCAGGGGATCTTTAATAACCACAAGAATTCAGGACCTCAGATTTACCAGTCATCTGAAAGACAGCAGCTCCACGAGCACAGCGCCGGGACACTGACTCAGGAAAGAACATCGCCTACCGAATCACCAACAGTTACTGCAGCACGCTACTTGTAATCTGGAGGTTCTCCCATTCAAGTACTGACCACCCCAATCCTGGCTTAGTTTACGAGATCGAACAGGACAGGCGACATGCCAACGAGCCAATATACACTAAATATCAAATTACATAAGATCAGCCCGTGCTGTGAATTATAACTTGAACAGCTTGTGCAGCCACTCACTCACCATATCCCTAAATCACTGTTACTGTTCAGTATCCATTGCAGGGCATCTTCAAACTTCTCTGGGGAACTGCCAGTTACATTCTACATGAAAGAATCGATAAGAAGATTAGTTCTGCATTCATTTGCGAAGGTGGAACAACATTATTGCTTTGCTGCAAAGGGAAAAATTGCTCTACCTGCATTTTTTTGCTAGATTACTTCTGATCAATTTAACTAACTCGGCAAACTGGCAGAGAGGCAAAGCAAATCTACAGGCTGGCCTGGAATCTTGACTAGAATTTATAACTTGGTACATCATACATGAAGCACACCGTAAAACAATATTCTCCTTATGTTTCTGAGACTAACTGCTAAACACAACATAATCTTGCTGACAATCTTCTTTGAAGAAGTGGAACATTAGATCAAAACAGCCTGCCTCCTATCACTTGGGGGTGAGTTGGGGAAAACCTTACTGCTTCCATTCCTCAATACAGGGACGTTTTTGGCATCAAAAGACTGACAACTAAGGTGGAGCAACAATCATTAGTTAAAAATTAGTTAAAAAAATCATTAGTTAAAAATCCGATGAAGTGAGCTGTAGCTTACAGAAGTTTATGCTCAAATAAATTTGTTAGTCTCTAAGGTGCCACAAGTCCTCCTTTTCTTTTTGCGAATACAGACTAACACCGCTGCTACTCTGAAACTAATCATTAGTTAGATTTACAACAGCTAAATTAGTGTTGACAGAGAGATGGAGTAGAAGATTGTTTTCTGAAAGAAATGCGGAGAACAGGACTGGCCAAAGGAACAGCTGGAAAGATTGGAAAGACTCAGAACTGGATGAAGAAATGAACCAGATGGTACATTGTTTTATAAAGCAATAAATAACAGATAGAAAGAAATTAACTGCAATACACAACAATTAACACTCATTCCAATCCTACTTACCGCCACATAATCCTTTGCTTCACTAACCAGAATGCATTTACTTTTTAGCTTCTCAGGGTTTCCACACTCAAAACTACCTAGAAAACAAGTCGAATAGATGGAAACAACCCTGAACAAAAAACAACTCTTAAACAATCAGGAAATGCCCTGAACCATCTGGAAGTGTTATTCTTTTAAATCACTTTTAGCTGTAGCCAAAATGTTTACACAGAAGACTGGAGTTAAATATTCTAGCCAGATAATTTTATGACCTTTAATCAAATTTGTAGCTACTGTATATAGGCTAAGACAAGGGTTCTCAAACTGGGGGTCGGGACACCTCAGGGGGTCACAGGGTTCTTACATGGGGGGTCGTGAACTGACAGCTTCCACCCCAAACCCCGCTTTGCCGCCAGCATTTATAATGGTATTAAATATATAAAAAGCATTTTTAAGTTATAAGGAGGGGTCACACTCAAAAGCTAGCTACATGAAAGGAGTCACCAGTACAAAAGTTTGAGAACCACTGGGTTAAGATAAGGGCAATCAAATGTATTGCTTCAAGGTATACGCTACCCACCACACTAGCCAAGAAGAATACGGCCATCTCACTCTACAAAACTGCACTTTTGGCCAAATGCATTAGGGACACTTTCCATCAGGTATGGCGGATGTTCAACTTAACTGAACTTAAACTTAACAAACCCAGACCATGAAACCCTGACTTGAAAAGAAGTCAGAACAGACGTATTAAATAATGGCTACTATGCTTTTGAGTACAAATTTTCAAAAGTGATTTAGGCACTTAAGAGCATAAGACTCACTGAACATGTACAGGAGTTGGGCTCCTAAGTCACTTTTCAAAATGGAACTCAAGCACTTTTGACAATTCTATCCATTAGCACAATATTAATAATATTTGCTTGACTGAATAATGAGAAAATATAAGAAACTTCTGACTGCATTTCCTTCTCCAACATGAAACCATTAGTCATTGACCCGGGCAGCCGCTTGTATTCTAATGTCTGGTTGGACTGTTTTGGCCAGTGCTCTAAGCCAATGTTTTACATAAACATATAGAAATGTTCTGCTGTTAGACTCAGGTGTCTTGCAAGCATTTGAGGCACTGGGTTTAAAAAGAAAAAGTTATAAAGTTGAGCATTTGCATCTCAAATTCCCAATATATGATCTGCAAATAAGGCCGCCACCATACAAACACAGGTACCTTTGCAGAGACATAAGTGCATCAGTACAGCACAATTCACATTTAAAGAAAACATTTCCTTCACCTTTTGCCTGCTTTCTCAGTGCCCCTAAAGTCATTTGCACAAGGAAAATGTCCAGCCAGCTGGGAGATGCAGTTTGCTCAACCCTCCTAAGTGCTTTATAATGATAATCAGAACTCACCAGCTTGTATTGCCAGGTAGTTATATAATTCATACAGCATGGCCATTAAAATGTCCTTCTGTTTAGCTTGACAGAACTGAAAGTCAAAAATAGATAATAAACATCAGTAGCAACAAGATAGCAATTAGATCAGCCAAAATACAAAAATAAAATACTAATAGAAGTGTATGTTCAGTTGCGCTCTACTTCAACTTGGTAAAATTAAAATACAGGATTACTGAGGCAAAAAGTCTCAGGGCCTAATCCTGTACATTGCTGAGCACCTCCTGTGAAATGCAAATGCCTCCAATTCCCAATCATCATAGCCTTCTACTCCAACAGCAGCTGAGGGAGCAGTTCCTTCAAACTCGGGTACAGTAAATAGATTTACGATATACTTCCCCAGAATATCACAAGAGACCAACTATCAATTTACCAGCATATATCACCACTCTGAATTTGATTCAGAATTCTGTCTCTCTCAATAGCACATTGTGGAATAAATCAGGGCTGCATAAACACATCTCAACAGAGATTAGGGATTTAGCTTTATTAAAGCGTCTATTAGAAAAGATGACTATATAGGCAAAATCTCTGTCACAAATCAAAGTCACTTCTGTTACAATTAACAAAAGAAAATAACACCAAGTGATTCAGATCTTCAGTAGCTTAAATCTATAACTTTCACATTCTTCTATACAGTCACAATCTAGTCTGGCCTGCAAAAAAAGGAAAAGAAGCCTATTAAATCTAACTCTAGTAAACCACTAAATTCCTCCTGTAAAATGATACAGGCTATTTGGCAGTGATATTGACAGTAACTGATTTGTGAAATTTGCTAGAATAGTTAACGGTCTTTGAGATGCCTGTCCCTACAGTAAGGATTTTTTTAAAATGAACTTTAAATTTACACTTACATCATCTGTCCTTGTCTCACAATCCACAGTTAACAGTTTAACTGAGAGAGAGAAGAAAATAAGGGTTAGTCAGCCGGAAAATAAAAACTTTGACAGAGAAAATAACTAGTGGTTAAAGCAGTGATTAAAAATAGCTACTTTTAAAGCATCTGATTCTTCTACCATTCATCCCATTGAGTATTACCTTACTAATCAAACAGTGCTATTGAAACAACTAAGGTAGGCCATATCGAAACCTAAATTAGTAACATACACATATCAGGGCAGAAACAGGGAATTTTGTTCAGTAAGCAAATAGTTTGGAGTTTCCAAACCATTTTGCAAATAATTCTAGAGAGATGTTTTATGCTCTTGCAGTATTCACTGACTTTGAGAAAACAGGGCCGCCTGCTCACCTACTCTATGCACAAAACACCTACACCTGTGTTGCGTTTTGGCAACCACACTTCACAAATTCCTTCCACAAACCCTTTTCCTTCATTTTGGAACCAGACCAACAGAAGATTTCTGTGAATTTAATCTAGCAGGAGACTTAATCTGCTACAGTAGGGACCTAGCATGTCACTTTTTTTGCATATTTAAAATCCAATGTTCTTGGAGGTAAGCAGCAGAAGGCAATTTCAAGTCTTCTACCTTTGAAGTGGTCAAGATCAAGGACACTGGATGACTGTGCTTTGTATAAAATGACATTAAAACAGATGATGGGCAATTATATGGGCAGTACATCATTATGATGGATCATAAAATATGTCCTCATTGCTAGATGAAAATTTAACTCCCCATAAAAATCTATGGTTTTGAAGAATCTCAAGCCAAGTTCACTTGAGGAAAAAAAACAACACAACCACAAGACACTTTTCCATGACTAACAAGGTGCCCCAGGAAAAGGGATTGGGGAGACAAGAGGCAAAGACAACACATGAGGAGAGGGAGAAGAAAAATAAATGCAGTGAAGATGGACAATAGGGGGGATGGAAACAAGAGGCGACTGAAGAGAAAGAAGGAGAGGAAAAGGGGAGAGGCGATTTAAAAATGAGTTTAATCCTCCACGTACGGTTCTCCTCTGCCCCCAGAAGCCAGGCTGGCCAAATCATCTTCACCCAGAGGATGCCTAGGAAAATCACCAACAGCACCAGGGTGGCCAGGTACAGGAACCAGGAAAGGTAGAACTCCAGACCCCTACCCTTTCCTACTGCACCCTGCTTGGGGGCTGTCAACTGACTTGTGGAGGTTAACCCTTCTCCCCCTGTCCTCCATGGGATCCTGCGGATTAATCCCCCTACTACTGTTGTTGTCCCTCCCTGGGTGCTGGGGGTTAACCCCCCGTCTCTTGTCCGCCACTGGGTGCTGGGGGTTAACCCCCCGTCTCTTGTCCGCCACTGGGTGCTGGGGGTTAACCCCCCGTCTCTTGTCCGCCACTGGGTGCTGGGGGTTAACCCCCCGTCTCTTGTCCGCCACTGGGTGCTGGGGGTTAGCTTCCTTTCCATCTCCCATTGAGTGCTGGGGGCTAAACCCCTTTCTACACCTCGCTGGGTGCTGGGGGCTAACCCCACATCCCTCATCCCCCGCTGGGTGCTGGGGGCTAACCCCACATCCCTCATCCCCCGCTGGGTGCTGGGGGCTAACCCTCTTTCAGTCTCCCACTGGGGCCTGGGGCCTAACTCTCTTTCAGTCTCCCACTGGGGCCTGGGGGCTAATCTGACATCTCTTGTCCCGCACTGGGAGCTGGGGTTGAACCCCCTTTCTGCCCTCCACTGGGGGCTGGGGGCAAGCCCCCCGGGGGCTGCTGTCTTCCCCAGAAGAGCCCAAGGGTTTAGCCCCCCTGTTACATCCCTGTGAGGGGGCTGGTACCCATCCTCCTCCTCCTCCTCCTCCGAGCCCTCCTCCTCCTCACTCTCCCTACGGCCCTGGCTGTGGGCCCGGTGGACCAGGGGGCTGGGCTGGCGGCGAGGGCCGGAGGCCGAGGCCGGCTCAGGCCTGGGGTCAGCGCCTGTGCTCTGGCTCCTCCGGCCGGCCGCCGCCTCGGCCCGCAGGCGGCTCAGCTTCTTGGCGTAGAGCTCGCGGGTGGAGTCGGTGATGGGCCCCGGCTGGAAGCCCAAGGCCCGCAGCTCGCGGCCGAGCTCGGCGTCGGACGGGCCGGCCATGCTGGGGGCCGGGGCCGCCTCCGCCCGCAGGCGGCTCAGCTTCTTAGCGTAGAGCTCGCGGGTGGAGTCGGTGATGGGCCCCGGCTGGAAGCCCAAGGCCCGCAGCTCGCGGCCGAGCTCGGCGTCGGACGGGCCGGCCATGCCCGGAACTACCGCCCGAGCGGGGCCTAGGCCGGAAGCGCCCTGCGGGAGGCGACGCAAACGCCGCCATCTTGGGAGAGGCGGAAAGGCCTCTCGTCTCCATCTTGGGAAGGTCAATGTAAGCGCTTTGTGACGCCTCGCCGGGCCGGTGCGTCCGCCATCTTGGGAAAGTCAACCATTCCCAGACACCTCCCAGGGACGCCATCTTGGGGAGGTCAGAGCTCTGGTCCCAGGGGCTCTCTCTTCAGCCCTTATCATGCAGGGGCTGGGCGGGAAGGCTGTTTTGTGCCCTTCACAGGAAACAAGTTACACGCAGGAGGAAGGGAGGGAGGGGGAGGTGGCTAGCTCAGCCTTTTATTTGTGACTGAGCCAGCAAAATGCCCTCATGTCACGGCTTCCAGATGACCCATCGGTGGCACGTGGCATTGCCGGGGGGCGACACTTGGATGCCCCGTGGCGTTGCCGAGGGTGACCGATGAGAGGTTGCATTGCCGTGGGGCGATGCTTTGGTGGCAGTGCCCTCATGGCGGGAGGGGGGGCTTTGGTGCCAGGCTGCAGCGTGACATGATGGTGGCCTTTGCTGCAGGGTGACAGGCGGACACTGCCGGGCGCCTTGGCAACAGCCTCTTTGCACCCTATGCCATTGCTGAGCAGGTTGCTGGTTTATGCCACCTTTCAATACAGCAAGAAGATGTGCTTGAGGTGTCACCGGGGTGCAACCAGATTTGTCCCCTGGGATAAAATCCAGGCACCCTAAATTGCCTCTGCTTTAAAAGCAGTCTCTCTTGTGCCGTTTTATTTCCCCAGTGAACATTTGGTTGCTGATCAAAGATAAGTGGAATAGGTAGGAATGGCCCTCACTCGAGGAGACCCAGCCTTGAGAACCGCAGACTGAAAATAGTTTGACACCAATGAATCCAGAAAAGCTTGGTAACTCTGCCCCTTCCCATGCCCTTAGTTGTGTGTCCTACTGTGTTCAGAGCCCCACCCTGTTTTCAGAGACCACCCTGAAATACAGACTCATGGACTTTAAGGCCAATCCTCAATCCTGCCCCCATCTACCTTAGGCTATATTCTTTAAGCAACTGATTATTTTGGTCCCGTGAGTGAACATTTAAGACAGGTTTAATCATAATTACTCTTGGCTGTTACCTCTGCAGTTGAATGGCAGCTACAGTGGGATAATTATATAGATAATTATAGATTGGGTTGGCTCATCTTCATCAGTGAGTAGAGGGGTGCCAGAACTGGCTGGTGTGAAAGGGAGGTGTGGGGGGGGGGGGAGCAATTTGTGGCTTCACCACTTCATCCCTACCACACAGAAGGGAGGATGAGAGGGACTGGATGAGGAATGCGTAGGGTCTGACCTTATGCAAGACGAGGCCTCCATCCCCGGTGTAGGCCCAGGGAGGCTGTCACCCCTCCTCCTCCTCCTGTGGAACCCAATCCCCCCTTATAGAAAACTAGTGCAAACTGTGTCCACTTACCCTTGCCAAAGGTGCACAGATACCACAGTGATGGGCACAGTCTAAGACGATAGATGGTGACTTCTGTTTGAAGCTGTAGACTGGCCCATAGTACCATTAGCTGCTAAGCAGCTACCTGTTTATTCCCAGTGTCTCACCCAGAGTGCAGATTATAGAGACTGTTGGGTCTGCTAGTTGTAATTTCTACAGGCCCTTTTCTGTCACTCCTGCTCACATTTGTGGTACCGTAGTCCATGAGTAGCCCCACTGATTTCAATGGGGTTACATATAGAGTGAGGTGCCCCCCTGGTAGAATCAGGCCCTAAGTAGTTTGCAGAGCCAGTCAGGCTGAGATGTTCAAAGCCACCTAAGTCTGGACACCCAGTTCCCATGAAAATGAAAGAAACTGGGCCTTCAAGTCCCTGTGGTGACTTTGAACAGCTCTGCTTTAGTTAGTGTAGGATCAACCATGGCTCAAACTAACATGGTCACATGGGGGAGCAGGGAGAAGTTACTCCCCCCACACCAACACGACTTCATTAGACCTGCCCAGATTGTGGTAGTGGGCCAGCCTGAGTGGCTTCTCTGATGCTGCCTACTTGACGGGAGAGGAAGGTTTGAGTGAGTAGATAGATGTGGAGTCGTGGCTGCACCATCCCCAGGCACCTCCTGGATGCAGCGGGGGAGAGTATCCCACACCATAAAAAGGGGTGTAGCCGATTAACCCCCACCCAATACAAGAGGGAAGGTAGCTGCAAGCCCTGCCCCATCTCTCTAGAGTTACATGGTATTTAGACAGCAATCCTTCATACCGAGCACTCTTCACTTACGTTGGATACTCACGGTATTTGTGCCTACCAGACACCCCATCACTCATGAGCTCAGCACAGGTGTGGCTGGAACTTTTCTTATCTCTGGCCAGATCGCGTGACATGTCCTGACTCTGCCTGGCTTTCTGAGGAGGTTACGACCCTATATTTAGTTCGTCTTTTTCTTTTCTCCAGCCTCCAGCTTAGCTAGAGGAAAATGTGATCAGTTTCTTGAGAGGTGAGTTCACAGCTACCCACGTATCGGCTTGCGATAAGGTAATGGAGTTTGCTGCCCTGGAAACTGGATGACCTGCTGCTAGTGCAAGGAATTATTTGAGATGATGGTGGTAATCGAATGCTGACAATAGGAGGAAAAAGGGAAAGGAAAAGAACCGACACTTCTAAGCAGCCAGCCGGGATGCTGTGCATACAGATGGGTGCAGGAGCCAGCTTTCTGTTTTGGTTCATTACAGGGGTGCACATCAGAGGCAGGCAGCTTGAAGGGAAAGGAAAAGTGAGTGTGTGTGTACAGAGAACCAGGAGAAAGGAGAAGGCTAGTTAAAAAGACCCTGTCAAAATAGGTCAGGCCTAGAAAGGGGCCCGCTCTGATGATGGCAAGGGTTAGAAAATTGACTGCACAGATGGCCCCTTCTTACTGCTCAGAACTGTTTTGTGTGTGTATCTGGAGCCAGATCAGACAGACAGGGACAAAATTATGTTCTCATTCTCTCTCTCTGTAACTCCTCTTAGCCCTGCAGAGCTACTGGAGAGGGAGCTGGGTTCTACTCCGGCTTGTGCATCAGCTGAAGAGTCATGAGCTAAGTACTGACTGGCAAAGCCATCTTCTGCCCACGTAAAAGTCTAAAGGGGGAGTTCGCACCCCTTAGAGCCACAACTGGATCTCATGCCTCCTGCATGGAAGACAGGGTCAACCATGTCCATGGCACCAACCGACCCTCCCTTAGACTCCATGGAAGCTTCCTCAGGTTGTGGGCTCCCCAAGAGATTTTGTCTTGGCCCCATTGCCAGCCCTGAGGACAAGGCTCAAGTAAGTTGCTACAGCCAGAGGCTCTTTTGGGGAACCTCTGCACTGGGCAGTGTCCCTGCATGGGGGGAGCCCCAGGGGCATCTGCCAACTGGGGAAGCCCTCACAGGGCAGCATCACAAAGAGCAGGTTGAAAGAGATTGGGCAGGTGCAGCCTTGTGCCTGGAGCAAATCAGAGACCCACACAGCTGTCAGGAGAGCTGCAGGGCTTGGGAGCAGAACCTCCTAGGTCTTCCTTCAAGAAGAGCCTCACCCAGTTTTCCTTCCCTATCCCGTGGTTTTCCCCTTGTAGGAGGGAACAGCTCAGGTTTGTAGAGAGGTGCCCCATTAAGAACAACAGGCCAGTCTCTGATCTCACTTATGCTGTAAATCTGGTAAGTCAGTGGGCCAGATCCTCAACTGATGCAAACTGGGCTGGCTCCATGGAAAGCTGATTTACACCAGCCAAAGATCTGGCCCTATGAGACCACACCGTTTTCATTTCAGCCTTGCTGAATGCATCACATTTATTATCTTCCCTCCTCAGATTCAGTAACCAGTGATTTTATAGTGTAACCTGCCCCTTCAGCAACAATCCCTGTGAAACTCCAGCTACTTTAGCCTGATCAGTCTGTGCAGTGGAAATATGTGTTTGAAATGCATGTTAAAGCTGGCAAGCACTCCTGACTACATGTACTGTTATATGGGAGGAGATTTATCTTCTCCTAAAAAGGGACCAGCTTTCAAAACACAAAATACAGAGCAGTTCCAATCGCATGTGTGTTATTTTGGCACTAATACTGCAGCTATTTAAATGATCCACAGTGACAGCAGAATTTATGTTAAATTGGGAGAATAAAATTGGATTGGAATTGGATACCTGTCACTCAGACATATCATTTGTCTCACTATTTCACATCTTACAGATGTTAAATTCCATGGTACCTATAGAGTGACTGTTCTTAATTAAGAAAAAGGCATGTAAATGCATCATAATGAATATTACATTAAATTAACCATTTACATTCAGTTGTGTTTGCAAAGTAGAAATAAACATGGATCTGTGTGTTATTGCAAGGCAGAAGTGAGCATGGACGATAAGCCACGTGTACTCACAGTGTAGTAGCTATGGGTAAAGTGCACCTGTCAGTAAGATGGATTTTCATATAGTTATGACGAAGTATTGCCATGATGTGTGGTCTAGCAGGAGGACGTGTTCTGTAGTGATTAAAGCAGGGAACTGCGAGTCAGGACTTCTGGGTTCTGTTCCCAGCTGTGGGAGAGTGTGTCCTCTAGTGATCAGACTGGGGAACAGAGAGTCAGGACTCCAGGGTCCTATTCCAAGCTCTTGAAGGCAACATCCTCTAGGGAGTAGATCAGGGATGGATAGGCAGAACTCAGGGGTTTTGCTGTTTGACCTTGGGCAAGTCACTTAACCACCCTCTGTCTCAGTTTCCCCATCTGTAAAACTAGATCAACAATATTTATCCGCATTGGGGTGAATGAGGCCTAATTATTTAGTATGTGCAACGTGCCCTGAGCTCTTCAGACAAAAGGTGCTATTCTATATACCCAGAAAGCATCACATTGTAGAGCCATTTTGATTCTTTCATGCACTTGGAGCTCACCATCTGATTATTAAAGACATTTTAAAGAAACAAGTCATTTATTTAATTCAACTGCACATTTTATTACCTTGCATCCAAATTTTTTTCTTTTGAAGCACTTTACAGATTTAGTTTTACAGAAGCATAGACCTGTAGTCCAGCAAGAAGCATCACCCTGCTCTTCTGGGACATCAGTTAACTGTAAAGAGAGGAAAGAACAAATTCAGTCCTTCATAAGCCACACATACACTGCCAAGTCCTTTATATACAGTGCCCTGTCCTTTATAAGCCTTATACAGTCCTATACAAGACTCATCTACAGTTCCCAGTCCTTTACATACAATTCCTAATCCTTTATAAACCTTACGTACAATTTTCAGTCCTTTACAGCTTTATGTGCAATACCCACCCTCCTCAGCTTCCACTCTTGAAGAAATGATGACAAACTGAAACCAGCATGTGCAATTGGAACCGTAATCCCACAGAAATGGTGGAAGCCCTGTTGCTAGGGTTATTTAAACCTAGACTGGATACAGCCCCAGAGAATTGACTGTAGATCACAATCCCGTACTGTTCTCCAACAGGGCATGCATGAATTGACTAAATAACCTACTGTCACAGAATTTTTCTGCCTCTAGTTTTTACATACCGAAGGCCAGGTTATCAGAAGAGCTCAGGGCTAGGTTTTCAAGTGCTCAGCAACACAATTGCGGCCTGAGTTTCAGAGTTCAGCTCCCATTCAGACACCTAGATAGAGGCCTTTGAAAATTGGCCTCGATTGCAGGTGCTGAGCTGTTTGGCCAATGTGGCCTAATATATGGGTGCTGCATTCTGCTGAAAATTTCACCCTAAATCCTGGGGTCCTTAGTGGTTACTCAGTGTTTACTTAGGGCTGGATTGTGCAGTCCTTTTGTACACTGCTCTGCTGAGCTTTTACTCACATAGTCCCATTGGTTTCAGCGGGGCGACTCGCGTATGTGCACAACAGCGTGAATAGGAGATGCGTGATCTGGCCCTACGTCCTCACTAAGGCAAACCCCATTGACTTCAGGGCTGAACAATTAGCACCTCAATTAGCCCTTAAGTTTCTGTGCACAGCAACATTCCCCCAAATACCTACAACTTGGTAATGCCAAGAGCCTGGTTCTGATCTCTGTCACACCCCTGTAACTTGAGAATATTTGCACTGAAAAGAACAGAGATACACTGATGTGTAACTGTTATAAAGGTACGATCCAATGCCCATGGAAGACAATGGAAAGTCTCCCTTTGACTTCAGAGGGTGTTGGGACAGAAAGCAAAGGCTAAATTGTCGCTCTGCCAGAAGCCCCATGTACAGGACAGCGTTAGGTTGTGCTCTCCAAGCATTAGACTGGGAAGTAGACTGTGTTTCTCCTTCCTTGGTGGAGGAGGCTGGGGAAGGGAACTTACATGGTGTTAGGCATATGGCTGGTGCAGTGTGTCACAGTTCAGGGCAACTGCACCTGTATTTTCCCCTTGTGGTCCAGCAAGGGCACCCACTCTAGGCTCCCAGCTCCTCAGCTGTCAGCTCTCTTGGGTGCAGATGCATTTCTCTCTCCCTCGTAACCGGGTTTTACCAGACTGCACAGTTCCCTGCCTATACTGTGAGTTCCCCAGAAAGTCAGACTGACGAAACAGGTCTGGTTTGCTTCTCCCCGGAGGCTAAAAGGAACATAATTGCCCACAGGTACAAGCTACCGCACAGCCCTTTCTAAGCAAGCACATTTATTCTTAAGGTAATAGCATTACAGAGAAAACACTAAAACACTAAAAGAACCTACACATGTGCTAAGAAGGCTTCCAGAGATCATCCCCCAAGTCCAACAAGAGCTCTGGTAGGAGTCAGCCCTTCCAACCCCACCAAGGGGTTTTTCTTTGGTTTCAACTTCAGAACACCTTTTGCTCAGAACAAGAACCCCCATGAACAGGTCAAGTCCTTCCAACCCTTTCCAGGAAGGACTGGGTCGTCCCTGGGACAGAAGGTCCTGTCCGGTTGTTGGATCAGAAAGTAGGCCCACAGTCACTTTAAACTCAGGCTAGTTGTACAAAAGTCCTTTCTTTGTCCGCTGGTCTCTAGAGAATCCAGTCTGAGCCAGTATAAGCGAGCCTTCCCAGGGGGTGGGACCTCTCGTGTGGTGTTCCAGTTTGAATGAATTTGCCTCATCACCCACCCCTGTTCTTAGCTACTGGAGGTCTCCCTCAGGGAATTATATACAATCCCTGGCCCACAACGATGCATAATACTTAATACAGTAAGATCCCCCATAGATATGCCACCTCTGACACACAGAGGATGTCCCCAGCATGCTGACACAACTACACTGATTGCATTTTGGGGTGGAGCGCAAAGCTCCACTCGCATATATATGGGGACTGGCAGCCCCATGAAGGCTGCTATCCTCTCTGCACTGGTACTGCTGGTGTGAGTAGACAGCTCAATGGAGTAAAGGGGGGAGTCTTACACCCTCTTTTAGTCCCCTCGCTTGGTGTGCAGGATGGGCCACACTCTGGCCTTTGGGGAAGAGAGAAGCAGACTCAAAAATCAAGTATTTAGGCACCTAACTCCCACTGATTTCTCCTTAGCTATTCAGTGGCCCACCTGGGCTGGCCTGCAAAGTGCATTTTGCCCTTAATACCCATTCAGGAGGAGAAGGTAGCTCCTCAGTCTTGCTTTTACGCGAACACATTTTCCAACGGCTGGAACAATGTGTTTGCAAGGTCGTTCCCTGGCCACGGAGGAGGGACGTGAACGCAGGGAGCAGTACCAAGGGTGGTTGCTTGGAAATGGTAGGATGTCACTGTAACAATCGACAGCAGCACCGAGAGACCATTTGGGCAATGAGAAGGGAGCTTAATGTTCTTAAGCGCAAAGTGTACCCATGGTGGGCGGGGGGAAAAATGAGGACTCTGTAAAGGGAGCAAACATGACACAAAAGCCATTCCCAGAATATAAATATCACTCGGGGAGGGAGAGAGGCACAGTTCAAGTTCCTTTCAGTACCATTTTGAGCGTCCAGTAGCATCTCAGTTAGCAGTTCCTCCAGGACGTGCTGGTATTTTTCCAGCTGCCTAGCGTTGAGCCGCATTCCAATTTCTCCAGGAGCAGTCAGCTGTGAAGGAAAGCACAGTTACCAAAAAAAGGAAAAAGAAGGGGGGGAGACGGATAACCTCCTACTTTATCAATGTTGAAGAACAAGGGATCTTGTGCACAGAATTACGTGCTACTGCTTGCTAGAGTTTTCCCCACCAACCCCGTAGCCAGCCACTGAAAGTTGTAGCACGAGGAACAAGCTGGAAGTTCTGTCACATGGAATAAAGCTGGGCTGATCTAGTCTCCTATTTGGGGCTTGATCCTGCACCGTTCAAATCAATGGGAGTTTCCCTATGGACATGAAAGGGAAGAGGGACTGCACCCTTACTATGGTGGACATTGACATGGACTGGGTCTTCACAAGGGATAAGTGGCCTTGAGGGCTGTCCTTGAACTCTTTACTCACTCTTGGGTTGCTAGATATCCCAGAGTTTCAATCCATTGGGTCATCCAGATGTTAGCTTGGTATTGTAGGCCGGATAGGCCACTGGCAATGAACAGCATACTGCCTCTACAATTAGCAGAGGTCCCAAAGGAGAAAGTGATCCTTGAACTTGACAAGCCCCTGTGTTGCAACGCTTTCTCAGGCCAGTCGTTCTATTGACTCCGATGCCTGAGTAAGAGCTGTATGAAGAGGCACATTTCTGCATGCAGCACCTCAGGACAGTTGCTAGGATGTAACAAAAGTGAACAGAATTGCTCAGGCCACATTTGGGGGTGGTGGTCAGACTCCAGGATGTGCCTGGTATTTAATGTTTCAGACTGAGAATGCTCAGTGTTTAGACACTAATATTAGACAGTTTTGGAAGAACAGATGTGTTAACTAATGTCCTGGCCAAATTCCAACTCAGCTAAACTTTACATCCTACCCTGGTACATTTCCCATGGATCCACATTCTTTCTCCTTCCCCTTTGCTGATGAAGAATAGTGATGTTTCCAACCCAGAAGTGGCTGCACTGACTGGTGGGTGAAACAATTCCTGGGCTGTAATTGAGGAGCCCAATTTTCTATCTTGGGTGACTGAGCAAACGTGCCTCCGAGGGCTCAGATCGGCACGTAGATGCCGAAAAAAACTTGGATTTTCAGGGAACCTTTGACAAGGTCCCTCACCAAAGGCTCTTAAGCAAACTAGCAGTCATGGGATAAGAGGGATAGTCCTCTCCTGTATCACTAACTGGTTTAAAGACAGGAAACAAAGAGTAGGAATAAATGGTCAGTTTTCAGAATGGAGAGAGGTAAATAGAGGGGTACTCCAAGGATCTCTATTGGGACCAGTGCTGTTCAACATAATCATTATGATCTGGAAAAAGGGATAAGCGAGGTGGCAAAGTTTGCAGATGATACATAATTACTCAAGATGCATACAAACCAGACTGTGAAGAGTTACAAAGGGATTTCACAAAACTGGGTGATTGGGCAACAAAATGGCAGATGAAATTCAGTGTAGATAAATGCAAATTGGAAAACATAATCCCAACTATACATACGAAATGATGGGTTCTAAATTAGCTGTTACCACTCAAGAAAGAGATCTTGGAGTCATCGTGGAGAGTTCTCTGAAAACATCTGCTCAATGTGCAGTGATAATCAAAAAAGTGAACAATGTTAGGGACTATTAGGAAAGGGAAAGATAATAAGACAGTAAGTATCATAATGCCCCTATATAAGTCAATGGAATGCCCACACCTCGAATACTGCAAGCAGTTCTGGTCGCCACATCTCTCAAAAGATATATTAGAAATGTAAAAGGTACAGAGAAGGGCAACAAAAATGATTAAGGGTATGGAACGGCTGCCGTATGAAGAGAGATTAATAAGACTGGGACTCTTCATCTTGGAAAAGAGACGACGAAGAGGGGATATGATAGAAGTCTTTAAAAAGCATGACTGATGCAGAGAAAGTGAATAAGGAAGTGTTATTTACCCCTTCACATAACACAAGAACCGGGGTCACACAATGGAATTAACAGGCAACAAGTTTAAAACAAAACAGAAGGAAGAATTTCTTCACACAACGCACAGTCAACCTGTGGAAATCATTGCCAGGGGATGTTGTGAAGACCAAAAGCATAGCTGGGTTCAGAAAAGAATTAACTAAAGTAATAGGGAATAGGTCCATCAATGGCTATTAGCCAAGATGGTCAGGGACGCAACCCCAAACTCTGGGTGTCCCTAAGCCTCTGATTGCCAGATGCTGGGACTGAATGATAAGGGATGGATCACTTGATGATTGCCCTGTTCTCTTCATTCCCTGGGAAGCACCTGGCATTGGCCACTGTCAGAAGACAGAATGTTGGGCTAGATGGCCCAATATGTTCTTAGGTTTTAAAACAGGTATTTTTCTGCCCCTGAGTGCTGATTAAAGAGTCCAAGAGTGAAGCTGGATGGACTCAAGTTTGTAAACTTGGTACCCCCTCTACAAAGTCCTTAGGAATCCTTCAGGTTTAAAGGTGCTGGACAATTCACAGGTGATAACAAGCCTACTTTAGTAAATATCAAGATAAATCCCAAACCAAAAGCCTGAAGCAGACTTGCAAAATCTTGAGCAGCAGTGGTAGATGTTTATTGAGAGGTAAATAAAATATCAGTAGATTTTTCACCATCAGTATGCCAGGCAGGGTAAGTAGACTCAGGGGCTGAGCTACTAAACTTTCAAGACAAGTTTGCAAGGCTGAGCTGCACCCTGCGCCCATCTTCTGATGTAAACTTGCTCAATGTCTGGGTCCAGTTTATAGGAATTGGGTAGTATCCCTTTAAACAATTCCTGAGCCTGCCAGTGGCACTTACTGTCTTCTATTGCAGAAGCCATCAGAACCTAACAGAGCAGCAATGTACACAAATAGGTAGGCCTCATATGTTTGTATCTGGTCAGCGAACGTGGTTATTGGACACCCAATTGCACCTGTGTGGTTTCCTCATATACTTAAGGGTCCCCTCCACCATTCCCCTCACCTTGATGATCTCGCCCTCGTCCACACCCTCCACGTCAGAGAGCTCGGTGACTTCTCTGCCTTCCGATCGCTTCTGCAACATCAGGGATTTCTTTTGCGCTTTGTTCCTCTCTTTCTCCTGCAGCTACACAGCAAGGTACAGTAAAGAACAAACACCAAGGATCAGGAAGGTCACACTGACAAGGGTTGGGGTGGGGCAGAGTGGCTGCTTGTTCAGCGAAGGGTGAAGCACATCACTCGTGCTATGCGTTATTAATAGGCCATTCTGGGGTGGGTTGTGTTGTCCCTCTATGATATATGCAGTGAAATCCCTCCTCAGCGCAAACCTCAGGAGAGCAGCAACAATTGAGGGGGGTTGAAAGATTTCATACTATGGCTTTGGGAACCCGCTGGGGGGCAGGGGGGGGTCTTTGCAGTGGTTGCTCAAGGCAGGGTCTGTCTGCTTGATGTGGGTCCATAGTGCTGCCCTAACTGCTACACTGAATTTTAAAAGGGGTATTTTCAGTGTGAGAGAGGCAGATTGTGGACAAAAAATAAGAGGGACTCCCCTCTCGCTCCAGAGGACCCTTGATTGTGATGAGCACCCCTGGGGGAAGCGAGTTTGTATGGGCTACTGGTGGATGACACATTGCAAAAGTCCACATCAGTATACACTCTATAGGCTAGTGCTGAGACACAATGGGGAAGCTTTCATGGCTGCTTCCCATTTCTCATTAGTTTGCCTTATTGTTTAAACTGGATCCACGTACTTCCCCTTGCCCTCTGATAGTGGTGAAGAATGACCATGCTCCACCCAAGAAGCAGCTGCATGGATGCTCAGCAGAGACACCAAGGGAGGAATAGGCCATCCCCGCTCATTCCTACACAGGGTGTGAAATCCTGGCCCCACTGAAGTCAAGGGGAGCCTGGCTAATTATTTCAATGGGGCCAGGATTTGACCCATGGTCTCTCCAGGATGAAGCACATCAATGAGGTGGTGGTGGGGTGGGGGATGTGAGAAGCTTGTGTGAAAACAGAGAACATTAGTCTCTAGGGCTGTCAGCCTGGCACCTTTCAGCAACATTAGTTTCACATCAAAAGGAAAGGATTTTCCTCTGTGCGTGTCCCAGAACTGAAACCTATTTGGCGCGTGGTTAATTATTTGTTAGAACAAAGAGGCACCACAGAATTATGATGGGAGACTGCAGCTTCTCCATAAAAATTGAAGCCATTAGCTCTTTTAACAATTATAAAAGAAAACCGTTAAAAAATATCCACAGACGAATGTAAATGGGCCTTTTGTTTCCACTATCCTATTTTATGTTCAACTGAATCCTGGCTCTTGCAACCTAATCCTGAGTCTTTCACTCAAAGTCCTCTGCGGGACTGGTGAATAAAGTGCTTTTCACACTTTGAGGATCCTATAAGCTGCCCTACTGACCACATCCCAGTTCTGCTGTGGGACCTGTCATGCTATGGGGAGTCTGTTCCAGCTACATTTCCACTAGAGATGGACTTGAGAGAGCTGGTCTGAACCTTTGACCCATTGAGAGCTTTACATCAGTAAGAACTATGTTGGCCCAAGGTTCATCTCCCATTGAAAGCCCCAGCTAAGAAAAGCATTGCTCTTCAGGCAAGCACATAAATGTGTGTTTAAAGTTAAGCCCAGGCTTACAAGATTTCCTGAATCAGGGCCCAAGTCAGCACTCTGAGCACGCTTGTAGACGATCACCCTATAAATACAGTCTTAGGCTGTTGCCTGGAAGATTGGTGGTTTGAACCCTCTTAAGGGATATCAGCTCCACCGCAGCACGACTGAGAATAAACTGAGCCAGTGCCCCCGGACTTGCCCCACTTTTCCAATGACATGGACTTAAAGAAATCATCCTCCTTGTCTTTTCTCACCTGCGCTGTGTGAGGCCTGGCACCGGTGCACTTAAGGATTTAGTGGGTTAGCACACTAGCCCTTCACCTCTGAAAACTGGTCGGCTCAAGGCATAAAACAAATGGATCTGCTGCTCTCAGCCAGACCCCCAGTGATGACGAGGGTCATCTGGGTATATTTTCATTCAATCAATTCCCTGCAACATTGGGCATTACTGCACCTCAGTGCCTCCTGTTCTCTGCCTGTGGCACAAAATAGTTTAGTCTCATGAGGGCTGTGACACTTTGGTCTAATTCTGGTGGTTGGGGTTGGCGTGGAAGTGGCTGGGTTGTGTGTAGTGGCCTCTGCCTGAAAGGTGGTCAGACTAGCCGTGGTGGTCCCTTCTGGCCTTAAACTCTATGAAGCTATGACTGGCAACATCATGAAACCACCCATCAAACCGGTAGTGTCTCTGCTCAGAAGGGATGAACTATGAGCTATGTGTGGGAAGCGTGCACAGGATGTGCCTTCCTGCACCACGCAGGGCTCCAGCCATTGCAGTATGGTTCTCAGAGGTTACCTGCATCCTCTCGATGTCGCTGCGAGTGAAGAAGGCTAGGTAGCCTTCAGTCTGTTCAGCCAGCATGGCCACCACGTACACCACCAGCAGAGAAGCCACCACCTTCCTGGAAACCATCACGAAGCTTGAGAAAGCCTGAGCAACACAGGAGAGGGGAAGGTCAGAACATGCCAGCAGGGATGGCTGCCTGCCGTGGTGCACAGCAGTTCAACCAACAACAGGAACAAAGAACCAAGCCCAGAAAGGAATAACCCCGAGTTATAGTTCAGACAATTTATCCTTCCTGGGACACAGCTTGGGTTTCTTTGGCCTTTATTTCTGATCAACAGCCATAGACTTCATATTTGTTCTCCAAGCTGCTTCTGTCACTGACATTAGGTGTTGAGTGACAGTTTAACCTCCCCTTGAGGGCCTGACCTCCAGCCAATGGCCCAATCTTAAGAATGATAAACATCCCAGAATTGCAACTCCCTCTTCCCTACGGTCTACACCCAGTGAACCATACGATTTGGCAGCTGGGGATGCTTACCTGGTATGGGAGGCAAAGTGCTCTCAGCAAGCACTTGGGTAAAGATACCTGGGCTTGCTTGCACCTGCTTTGCACAGCACAGAGCTGGGAAATGCCACTGGCTGGGAAGGATTTCTCAGTCCGTACAAAAGAAAACTACTTTGGAGGCTGAACATTTTCGTTTAGATTTTGCATATGGGAGCGCTCTCCTGGCAGACCTCATGCTGCCGAAAAGTGATACGGAAGGAAGGTTTCCCCCCAACTCCCCGGAACTCTGGGTTGCTGAACAAAACAAATGTTGAAAGGTTCAGGCTGAGATTTCCAAAAGTGACTGGTGGTTTTGGGTGCCCAACTTCAGACCCCTTAAAAGGGGCCTATTTCCAGAGGGCAGGTGCTCAGCATTGCCTGCATATTAGGCCCCTTTATGCTGGGCAGTGGGTACCCAAAATCACCAGTTGCTTTTGAAAATCTTGGCCTAAAAATGTATGGAGCAACTGCGGGCTGAGGAGGGCCTGGTCTGACTTACACTGAGAGGTGAAGCATACATTTGTGTGTCTCTAGTTAGAATGACGCCCTGGCTATAAGGCGCAGATACCCATTGAGTTCCCCACTTTGAGATGTCTAGAATGTCTGCTTCCTTTGGCAAGCAGAGTTTGGAACTGTGCCGGCTTTTGACAGGCTGCTTTGACTACTGCATCATCCTAAAACACACAAATGCCCTCTGAACCTGCAGCAGCTGTGACTGACAGCCACCTCGTCTTCTTCCTAGAAGGGTCCTCTAAGCCGATTGGACTTCTAGACTCCCGCCTCTAGAACGCAACGGTTTTAGGCTTTGAGTCAGCAAGGGACCGACGGGTTCATTGGAACATTGACTTCGCTGGGACTCCTTGCCTGCATCAGACCCTTGCTGGATCGGGGCCTGACTCAACAAAGACGCAGCTTCATTTTCTAATCACGAGCCAGAGGAAGGGCCACCTCCAAGCACCTCTGTGCATTTCAAGCCGTGAGCCTCTCGACTCCCAGCCTGACTTCTAGCAGCCTGGAAGATGGACACAGAAGAGGATGGAAGGCAGGGGAAATCTGCTCCAGAGGGGAAATCCTGCCTTTATGCAGTGAAAGGGAAGGTTCCATGCAGCCCTCCCTAGAACTCCGCCAACAGACTCTGGCTTAAGTGCGTGCTTCCATGAAGCAGGTTCTTATGCAATACCAGTTGTTTGCACTTTAAATTGTATACACAGCACTTGATGAATGCTTGGGTTTTGCTAGCTGGATAATTAATAATTAATAAACAGGTTTAATATAATGCTTTGTATTCCTGACCTAGCATGTTGCCTCCAAAGATCTCCAAGTGCTTTACTGCATTATCCCCACCTTACAATTGGGGAAACTGAGTCACAGAGAGGCAAAGTAACTTGCCCCCCAGTTACTGAGTCAATGGCAGAGCTGGGAACAGAATTAAGGGGTCGTGCTTTAGGGAGTGGGGTCTAGTGGTCAGAGCAGAGTACAGATCCCATGCTTTAACTCTGTCCCTGAGCTGAAAATACAACCAAGGAGTCCTTATTAGCAGGACCCCTCTCTAAGCACTAGACACTGCCAGTTCTCATGGGTGTGTTCCTGGGCAGTAACTTCTTACATTTAAACTACAGTTTTATGGAGCATTAAATACCTATTCAGTTCTGCCAACACTACACCTCCGTTACAGTGTGTATGAAATCCAGACTTGCTCAGGGGAAAATACTTCAAGCTACCACGCTGAGCTTCCATAGTGAGGGAAGTGTCCTGATTTAGCAGCTTTAGTATAACTGTTTTATTATAATTATTTTTATTTTCTCTCAATAAACTTTGGGGGAGAAGGGAGATCAAGCCAGCATGCTAGTGTCTCTAATCCCATAAGGGACCTATAAGACAGTATGGGCAACTCCCACAGGTGGGCTGAGCCCTTTAATAAATCTTGCTAGGTCATACAGAGCTGCAGACATCATTTGCCACCCGAGCTCTACAGGAAACCAGTTTAAAGGGATTTAAAAACCAGTTTCCAACCTGATTTAGCAGCAATTTCACATCAGAGGGAGGATTTATATAAATATTAAATCTCCTCTTTAAATATTAAAACGTTCTCTCTTGAACACATTTAATGAAGTCTGGTCCCACTACGTAACTGCTTTACCCAATTTTATCCTGATCCTTAATTATTTTTAAAAAGCTTTTGGTTGAGGCATTATTAAAGGGACACTGTCAGGTCAAATCTGGCCCCAGAATTAGATTTCATGTAAATATAAACTTGTACAGACCAACAGAAACTAACAAACATTCCGTCCCACAGCATTTGCCACCCGATCATTTTGGCATTGTGCTAGCCCAGGAAAGCCAAGGAAGAGCCATCTCAGATGCCACTGAATAAAAAACACTAGGACTTATGTATCAGATCACAGTGTGTGCTGGTCTTGGGTCTGCTTCTCCATTGTCCTGCACTAAGTGTTGTCATTTACACCTGTGCAAAATGCTACCAAAACAGAATGGTAGGGCCAGATTCTAAGGTGGTGTAAACTGGCATCGTGTTGATATACACCAGCAAAAGATCTGACCCAGTAGTGGATTACCCCCATATTGCATTCACTTTGCACAGGTGCAGATGACTTTATGAGGTTTGGGGCAACAGAGGCTCGGCCCCCCCACTGCAACAGGGGCCAGTCCAAGCTGCTAAAAACTCACCCAACAGACAATTTTGTAACATCCTGCCCACATGGTGAGGTTTCTTCCTGACCCTAGGCAGTTAGTGGCTGGTTTATCAGACCTACTGATTGCATTGGGAGATTCTGCTGTAAAATCAGTTGCACCATGTGACCTAGTGCCATGCAGCGATTGCTTGGCTGTACTGATCAAAAGGGGATTGCCTAGGTCTTTCCTTAAAACAGGATTCTACCACGCTTATGTCCTGATGCACATTCTCTCTCAATAGGATCATTCTTTTGTGTCTTCATTTATTCCGTAACATCAATAAACTACTGCCCTCCCGCAACAAATACCCCAGTCACCTCCTTCATCTCCCACTTACTAGCCCTTTGTGAAGCTGTTCTCTCTCTGTTCCTGGAGAAAAGCTCCTGTTTTTTACTTTATCCATCCAGCCAGTCCACTGAACATCCCTTCCTTACTTTGTAAACAGGACACGTCTTTCATATTTTAAGACTCCAGCTCGGTGCCTCCCCAGGCGAATCTATAGCTTGCTGTTTGTGAGTTACTTTCACAGGTAGCATTTGAAAGAGAAAGTGCCAAGAGGTAAGATTCCAGGGTGGGCATCAGTACAGCATGGTATTCTGGGCACTTTGGGCCAGATTCTACATTGCCCTGCACCTTGCATTGGCATTTCCGGTAAAAATGCCACCATTCTGATCTGGGACCTTTGGTCTAAATGACGACACAACTCACAGCACAATGAGCAGTCAAGCCCTTTATTCCCTGAGCATTGGTTCAGGATCAGTGAGGGACATCAAAAGGTTAATTTAGGCAGAAGTTGCATCTGCTCCATCTCTTGTGTTCAGGGCATCTCCTGGAGTGCTCTATTCCTATACGGCTCCCTGAATCTCTGCCACATATTCCATTGTCTGATGGGTCTAACAGGCAGGTAATGAGAAGGGAGTCAGTTTAATCAATGCTGATAAAGAGAGGGAAGTGCAGAAAGCACCTTCCGCCTGGATTAAACAGTGATGTTGATCCCTCTTATTAGGCTTGAGGCATCTCTCCTGTTTAAAAGTATCTGTTGAGCTGCAATCAACTAACTCTTGCCATGGCAACTCTGCAGGTAGCAGGGTAGGCTGGATTGGCTCTCCCTATCTGAGAGTTCAGTGGGATGTATCTGGATGGAGACTGAGAGTAGCAGCAGCAGCAGCCTCATTAGCAACAAGAAATTAAACTCCATGGAAAAATGGATGAAAGATCTCTGAATAGGAGAGAAATCAGAACGGAGAAGAGCTTAGATATCATGATAATGGGCATTACCAGATGGGTGCGTGGGGGAACTAAGAGAGAGGAATTGTTGGAGGGTAAATAATGTTAAAGGAAGGAAGAGAGGAAAGAGGGGACAAGGCACAATAACAACAATAGCCCCAAAATGGAAAGTATCTTCCACCCGAGGAGCTCAACGTTCTTTAAAATCTCCAGGGTGAAATTCACTGCAAGAGATCTATGCCCCATTAAAGTCCTGCTTATAATAGAATATCAGCCTTGTGCAGGATCTCTGCACAGGGGTGAATTTCACCTAACAGTTCACTAAATCTCCTCCCCCCCAAATGAAGTGGGTAAATATTATCATCCCATTTTACAGAGAGGGATGTGAGGCATGGAGACCCCACGGTCCACAAAACAAGCTGGAGAACCCAGGAGTCCTGAGTCCCAGTCCTCAGCTCTAGCATCGGGACATCCCCAGATGGGAAGAGGTTGATTCTCTTATTAGTGATATACAGTTCAAGGTTCATGTAAGGGAACCAGGAATGATCTCTAGAACCGGGGAGAGAAATTTAAATGGAACCATATTCCACTGGAATATCCAGCTCTGCCAAAATCAGAAAAGCTCGATTTTGTCAGAATGTTGTTTTGGAAGAAAACCAGAGGGAAAAAATAGTTCTGGCAACATTGAAATGTCCTGTTTTGACGTTTCCATAATGAAACTTTTCAGTTTAAAAAAAACCTGTATTCGATCATGTCTAAACCCCCCTTTTTTTTTCTTTTCCCCCAGAATCTTCCTTCACAGAGAAGTCAGAAAGGTTTGGTTTTCTGCTCCCATTTGGAAAGGACCTAGGCTTTGAAATCTCAAAATCCTTCATGAAATGGAACTTTTGTCCTCTGCTGACCCTGTCTCAAAACCTTTGAGCGTTGACTGTCCATTGCAGCATTATCACAAGCAGAAATGAAGACACTCATCACTTACCTAGGGAGTGCAGCAGTCTCTCCTTGGCAGTCAGGGCTTTCTGACTTCTCCTGTGTGCTCCTGCTCGATCTCTTAGCCCTTTATAGGCCCACCACAAGCGCCCAGTTACATCATCAATAATCAGTGGTGCCCGTGGCTCCCAGAAGCGGTCACTGAATACTTGGGGTGCATAGAAACGGCTTTGTTGCTCAGGCACCAACTTCTTCTGCAAGGAATTTTTTTAAGAGTTCCCAGTTTCCCAGGAAGATCACAGCCCGCCTCCACAAGTGGCAGTCCTCAGAATGCTTGTGTGAGGTCATCACAAACCAAATCCTGGCCCCTTGGAAGATAACAGCAAACGTTTCATTCTCACTAGAAGATTTGGCTCTACGGAAACACTGTGGGTCAAATTCAGAGCCGACCTATATCTCATGCCAGAGAGGAAGGATGATCTTGTGGTTATGGCAATGGATTTGGACTCAGGATATCTGGGTTGTATACCAGGCTCTGCCACAGACTCCTTGTGTGACCATGGCCAAGTCACTTAATCTCTGTGTGCCTCAGTTTCCCCATCTGCAAAACAGGGGTAATGAATAAGGCTACATTTTAGACATGGGTATTTTTACTAAAAGTCATGGACAGGTCACAGGCAATAAACAAAAAGTCAAGGCCCCATGACCTGTCCATGACTTTTACTAAAAATACCTGTGACTAAATCTTACCTGCTGAGAGGAGGGCGCTCCTGAAGATTGCTGCTGGGGGCAGGCCACGTGGGGCCACGCTTCTGCTGGGGGGGGAGGAGGGCAACCCAGAGCCCCACTGCAGCTGGGGGTGGCCCAGGGTCCCCTGCCACTGGGTTGGGGGAGGGTGGCCCATGGCTCCGCTGCCTTTCCGGGCGGGGGGCAGCCCGGAGCCCCCCAGATGCTGCTGTTGGTCTGGGGGGGGGGGTGGCCCATGGCCCTGCCGCTGCTCTGGGTGGTGGACAGCCCAGGGCCCCACCGCCACTGGTCTGTGTGGGGGTTGGCCCGGGGCCCTGCTGCCGCCACGGGTCTGGGTGGGGGATGGCTCACGGCCCCGCCACTGCTGGTCCAGGTGGGGGTGGCCCATGGCCTCACCACTGCTGATGCAGGCGGGGGCAGCCCGGGGCCACCCAACCACAGCCGCTACTGGTCTGGGGGCGGCCTGGGGCCCTGCTGCCACCGCCGCTGGTCCTGGACCGCTGCTCCAAGGCAGCGCCGGGGACCAGCTGCCTGGGGCTGCCAGATCAGCGGCCAGAGAGGCTGGCCCCTGGGATTCCCCAGCTGCTGGGGTGTTCCTGGGGTCAGCCCCACCAGCATGCAAAATTCACGGAAGTCACGGAAAGTCACAGAAGCCGTGACCTCCGTGAATGATTCGCAGCCTTAGTAATGAACCTTCCTTTCTCCCACCCTTTCCTTGTCTGGTCCATTTAGAGTGTGATCTCTTTGGGACAGGGGCTGTCTCTTACTGTGTGTCCATAAAGCACCTAGCACAATAAAGTTTGGATCTTGACTGGGTGGGCTGTAAATGCAACCAAAATGCCAACAAATAATAACAATGATGCCACTGAAATAAATGTAAGTCAATATAAATTGTAAGTCAAAATGTAAGTCAATGTAAATAAATGTAATAAAATGTAACCTATGATATTACAATTGCATGGATTTAAAGTAAGGATTGACCTAGAAGAATGTAGAGCCAAATATTAAAATAATAAATAATGTTTTACATATTTAATCTATCACCATTCATCACAGAGCACTTTATGGATAACTTGAGCCTTTTAAAGTAGTCTAGGAGGTTTATCTATCTATTTGTATGGTTCCTATTCCCATAATATCTGAGCACTTGCCATTCTGTAATACATTTAACCTCTCAACCCTCCTGTGTGGTAGGGCAGGGCTATTATCCCCATTTTACAGTTGGGGAAACTGAGGCAGAGAGACTAAAAGTAACTTGTCCAAGGTCACACGGGAAGTCTGTGGCAGGGCAGGGACCAGAACACAGCTCTCCCAAGCCGAGGCTAGTGCCCTAATTACTGGTCATCCATCCTCTCTGGACACCATTAGACACAAATGCTCAGAATCTGTCACGCTGCCCCTTGTGTTGTCATTTATACCTGTGCAAAAAGGGTGCAAAGTAAGAGTAAAATGCTATCGGTAGCATTTTACACTCACTGTGCACTGGTGTAAATGATGACAGGATGCAGAGCACTAGAGAATCAGGCCAGTCAATCGCCTGGACAGTTTAGAAAATCCCAGCCAAGGCTCGTTTCACCCATCCCTGAAATGCAGCTGCATCTAGGGCAAAAAAAGAGTCCGCTCCTGAAGGGCCTGATTCCAAACCCACTGAGGTCCATAAAAAGATTCCCATGGACCAATGTGCTCAGTCCCCAATGGCACATTGCAAAGCCATGCAATGTAGGGTAGGGTCTGAAGAATATCTCGCCCCGCAGACGGCAGGGGAATATTTCGGAAGGAAGCCGCCCCCTGGCCACTGACCATCTGACATTGACCCTACAATGAAACTCTCCAGCTCTCCTGACGATTTCACAGGAACTGAAGTGATGGCAAGTGGTCAGGACCTCAGCTTCACATCTCCTTGGACTGCTGGCAGCTTACAAGGAAACCTGAAAATAAACGAGTGAGAAACAAAAGGACAAACAAGTTAGCCAATGTATTAAATCCTGCTCTGCTTAATGGCTTTCTAGGGTGCTACATCTGTTGTTTGAAGCAGCATTCCTGCCTCTCTGACTGAGTGCTGAGCACCTGCAATATTTGCCAGGTACAAGCTGTGTGTGTGAGAGAGAGCGCGCGCAGGGGGAGCTGCGAAACAAGTGAATTAAAATGTTTTTCCTCTTCTGTTCTGCATTACAGCTGGTCAATACAATGTGTACAAACTTTGGAACCTCATCTGGGTTTTACAATAGGTCCCCTGCTGTCATCTCAGTCAATAACTTTCCATTTGGTCCAAAACACTCCTTAAAAAATGTGCCAGTAGTTAAGATGCTTCCAAGATCCCTCTGTATTTATTACGGCTTATCGCAGGGCCAGCAATATGAGTGCAGCTGTAAAACTTCAAGAGAGATCAAATAGTTTTGCTCCCAGGGATCAAGTGTGCGTTGAGGGCAACGGGAGAGGGTGCAAATGCTCATTAGCTTTTCTTCCCTAAAGAACTTGTGAAAACCCATTTGACACCAGCTTTCATTTTAATCGAATTTTCAATTTTTGTATGGCTGTGATGGATGCGGCTGACGAGATGGCAAAGAGAGTTGGGAAGCAGCAAAAGAAAGGTCCCTCTTTCCAAGTGCCAAACTTTCACACCTCTCCACCCCTTTTACCAGGGCAATGTGGCTGCTTGTCAGATCTCCAGTCCATCAGCAGTGAGATCTCCCACTGCAAAGGAACAACCTTGAAAATAGAAGGGGAGACCGTAGAATTAATCAGATTTGCATTAACTGGGTACTACAGGTCAGGTTATCAGCTATAGGGCTGTGTCCCCATTTACCTATGTGACAAGGTATGGCTCCTCTGAAATCACAGGCATGACTGCAGCTCAGGTAGACACACCTGTGCTAGCTTTAAGCTAGTTAGCATGGCAAAAAATAGCAATGAAGCCATGGAGAGACAAGCTTCAGCACAGACTATATAAACCCTCCTGCAACCCCGGGCACATCTACAGAATTTACAAGTTAGGGGCCAAAATCCACAACTAGTGTAAATCAGTGTAGCTCTTTTGACTTCAGTGTAACCATTACCTAGATTGCAAGCTCTTTGGGACAGGGACTGTTTTTTTTGTTCGATGTTTGTACAGCGCCTAGAACAATAAGAGTCCTGGTCCATGACTGCAGCCCCCAGCTGAGGAGCTGCTCTACAGTGTCCTACAGGAGAAGTGTGACCAAAAATAAAATACCCAACCCAGTCTCGGGCCTGCAACGGCTCACAAGCTTCAGTTCCTCTAAAGTATCTTCCTTTCAATGAAAGTATGTGCAAAACTGGCTTTGTAGCTGAAATAAGCTAAACATTCACCGTAATGTGGGGTAATTTTAGAAGAGAACAGGCAGTGACTGTAAACCTCCTGGAAATGTATTTCAATTGCAATGTCAAGGAATAATGGCAAAGCTAATTCTCCAAATCTTCTGCACTGAACTCTCGTCTCTAAGTCCTGTACTCTCCTCCCTCCCCTTTTTGTGTTGTGCTTGGAGTGTTGCGGCAAAAGGATTGCATAAAACCAGGGCATAAGAAGCTAACAGAGTTTGAATTTCACCTCTAGGGTAAGGCAGTGAGCCCAGCTGCCCGCAGTGGTGTGTGAATGTACAGTGACTGGAGAGCCTCAATCTGCCAATGATATTTGAATGGGTTTTCCTGGAACACCCCAGACAGGCAGACGATCTGTACCAAGATTTAAGCACCTTAAAGTTGCCTAAAGTGAGTCTGTTAAGTATGTCTTTGGATACCTAAATGAGCAGCGTGATTTTCAAAGAGCTGCACATGCTGCAGCTCCCATTACCTTCAGTAGGAACTCAGAACTTTTGGGCAGGTAATTTGGATGGAGGGGGCTTAATTTGAGACTTCCAGGTTTGAAAGTCTTAGTCTGATAGCATTAGACCAGGGGTTCTCAAACTTCATTGCACTGTGACCCCCTTCTGACAACAAAAATTACTACATGACCCCAGGAAGGGGAACAAAGCCTGAGTCTGCCCAAGCCCCGCTGCCCTAGGCGAGGAAGCCAAAGCTGAAGCCCAAGAGCTTCAGCCCCAGGCGGCAGGTTGGGGGAAGGAGGGCCTGTAATCTGAGCCCTCAGGCTTCGGCCCCAGTTGGTGGGGCTCAGGCTTCAGCTTTGGCCCCAGGCCCCGGCAAGCCTAACGCCAGCCCTGGTGACCTCATTAAAAAAGGGTCGCGACCCACTCTGGGGTCCCGACCCACAGTTTGGGAACCACTGCATTAGACAAATCACGCTCCCATTTTTTTCTGCACTCTGTTACATGGATGCATTACCAAGCAGGCACTGTCGTCTACGAGTGCTGAGCCTTACTAATGAATAAAACGCCTATGGGAAATTTTAATAAATTTTCCTTAATATTAAAGCTATATAAATATTTGAAATTCATGGGCTTAGAACACATGCTAATTTGTGGCATAAATATTTCAAAGGCACAGACAAACTCCTGGCCCCATCCCCTCCAAGTACACTGGTTAAATTTCTCCCGACTACTCAGGCAGTGTAATTCATGTTAATTCACTGGTGCGTAGCACGGGATGGGAGAGAGAATCAATAGCAGGATTTAGCTCCTGCTGATTTCAGACATCACTTCACACTCCTGCTTGTAGCAGCAAATACTGATGCCATAGATTAGTGCGGAGTTTATCTGTTGTTGTTTCTCTCTCCCCACAGTGTCTGCCAGGTTTACGTACCAAATCCAGAGCACCAAGGGCCTAATTACTGGGAGTCTTCCCATCGACTGCAGTGAGCTCTGGATCAGGCTCCCACATCAGCTGCATCCAAGCTATAAATGGGTGTCAAAGGAAGCAGTGGGAATAATTTTGAATGAGCTGTCATCTCAGGACCTGATGGTGGAAAGATCCATTTTAAAGCTAGCAATCCCAGCTTTAGCTTAATGCAGAAATCCGTTTAACTCTTACAGCACTGATATTTCCAAACGACTACAAACCTAGAACTAGATCCTCACTTGGTATAAATCAGCAACTGGTTTTGATGGAGTTACACTGATTTCGACCAGCTGAGATCTGGTTAATTAAGTGACATGAACATAAAACTGAGAGTCAGGAACCTTCCCTTCTACAACTCACTCCCTTCTGCTGGTTTCTGGAAAAATCAGTTTGAACTAGTACATTCAGACCTCCCCAGGGTGGGGGGATATACCGCTCTGGAGGAGTTAACACCAATGTGATTCACCTTAACCAACCCCCACATTTTTTATTGCTGGAAAGAGCTGTGGCAACTTTCCCCGCTGGAATAGAACACAGTCAGACGTAAATTGACTACAAAAGCCTTTCAGGATACTGCATAGGGTTACGATATCTGTCACACATGTAATGAATGACCAGGCTAGATCCTCCACAGGCAGCTAGGGGAAG